GCAGCACTTGCTCTCAGAATATAGTGATTCGATGGCCCATAGAGCTGACGATCTATTCCGTATGCTCGAAGGCGTGACCACAGACTGTTGCGTTGGACCCGGTAATAGGCTTTTTCTAGGTCAACAAAACTCATGTATGCCGGGCGGGCGTACTGCCACGATTTCTCAACAATCTGGCATAAGGCAAATATATGGTTAGAGGTGCTTCGACCGGGCCGGAAGCCACACTGCTCTTGGATCTTGAGGTCAATTATTTCACGGCACCTCCTTTCTAGCACCTTTGCGTGGACTTTACCTGGGAGGCTTAATAACGTAATGCCCTCAGAATTGAGCACTCCATGTGGTCTCCCTTTTTGAATACGGGTAAAATAATTCTCGTTCTCCAGTCCTCTTGTGTCTTCCTCGTAGTCATCGCAATTTGATAGACACATGTAAGCCAGCACATGCGTTGTTCGACTAATGGCTTGAGCGTCTCAGGGCGGATTTCATCAATTCCAGCAGCCTGTCCGTTTTTCAAGCTTTTTACGGCTTGTGCAATTTCATCTGTAGAAATAGTGATATCCTAAAGAAATATTTAGCCACTGTTAAGTCTGGATGAACAAGAATTGTGCATCTCAATATGGCGAGCCATCTGTGGATTCGTCAAGCCTGGTGTTGTTACCCTCCTATACTTTTTGATAACATGCTCGGTTTTGGTTCCAGTCATTTAAAAAGGATTTTATCACTCCTGATTTGTTCGCATGGAATCTGTGTTATTATCTGAACATTCAATTTATTGTTTTATACAGTTCGTCAGAGCCCTTATAAGGTTAAGTTTGGCTATTCCATGCTGATGAACACGTCTCGAATGTTCTGCTGTTTTTGGCGTGTATGAAATAGTGATTCGTTGAAATTCCTATCATGCTTTTGAGATAAGTGTGAAAAGTTCGCCTCGCACACTGGTTTTTTTTTAGTGATAGTCGGAATGTCGTTTTCCTTTTCAAACCCCTTATAAAGCCTATTACCGTTTCATTTTTACGTGTCGTGTTTCGGCATTCGAATGAATTCCGAATGACTGCCGTTTTTCAAGAGATTAAAATTGCTTTACCGTACCATGCGTTTTCTTAATTTTGTTCATTACCCTTGCTCTAGATTGGCTTTTTGAGGGCTGGGTCACCGTTCTTTACGCTGTAGTGCCGTAAATATGATAATGGGATTTCTGGGGTGGAGGTGTTCCATTTTGTTTAAGGTTCTTAAACACAAATGCGTTTCATTCCTTAACTGCTTGACAATCTTGTACTAGTGAAGTTTTGCAACTGCTGTTGGCAGTACATTCACTCTTGCTCGACCCGAAACTTAGTCTCTTTGATTGTAATATCAGGTTATTAAGGATCACTGAATGTGTAGAGATATAAAAAATAGTTCTTCTGGTTATAAAGTGGTTGCCATAGTGAGAAAGACGACAGTAGAATGAAAGTGTCAGAAATGTGACAAACCGAATAATTAAATACTAACCAAATGGAGCAGGAAGTTTCATGAACCTCAGCGATGAGGAAATCGATCGTTCTTTGTTAATTAATTAATCTATTGTTGTCTGTCATCGAACCGTATTTTCTAGTTAAGACTGCTCATTATCACCATTGTTGAGTTTTTGAGCTACCATTTTGACCCAGTCTGCCAGTAGTCCATTT